CAATTCCTACCGCCTGGCACCCTGCACCGTTTCGATTGCTCGGACGGCGTAGTCGCGGCGGCCATTACGAAGAGGTCGGAATATCTTCAACGTGTGCTCAACAGTATCCGACGCTACAATTAAAGGCTTGTATCAATGTCGAGCGATCAGGTTTTCGGCGTGACACCGCCCATTTCCGTAGGGCTGCCTACCGAGGCTGAAAAGCGTGCAAGCGATGCCCTCATCGAGGAATTACGGCGGCAAAAGACGTTCGAAAGTCCTTCCGATACCCAAAAAAGGTGCGCTACATCGGGACAACCTGAACCAGCCCTCAAGGGCCCCCTTTGCCCCTATCGAGATATCTGAATTCAGTCCAACGTGCCCCTAACTCTTCCGTGCTTGTAGGTACAAAGTTCTCGAATCACTGCAAGCTATCTGCGATGAATTTGTCAAGCGCGTCGCTCGAGAGAAAGAGCCCAAGAACGATGTCCTTATAAAGAACGCCCGTGGCAAAGTATTTACATATGGCAGCTTCCGTCTTGGCGTGTTCGGGCCCGGTTCCGATATCGATACACTCATCGTCGCTCCTAAATACGTCACGCGGGAGGACTATTTCAAGTACTTCCCCGATTTGTTGGAGGCTATGGCCCCCAAGGGCGCCATTACGGATTTGGCCGCAGTAACTGATGCATTCGTGCCTATTATCAAATTTGAATACTCCGGCATAAGCATTGATTTGATCTTCTCGCGGATCATTCAGAAACAGCTCGCCCCTGACTTTCAAGACCTTCAAGACTCTGGTTTGCTTCGAGGTCTTGACGAGGCAGAGCTCCGGTCGCTTAATGGCACACGAGTGACCGATGAAATTTTGACACTCGTACCCGAGCAGAGCACATTCAAGCTTGCCTTACGGGCCATCAAGCTGTGGGCCCAACGTCGCGCAGTGTACGGCAACATCATGGGGTTTCCCGGCGGTGTTGCTTGGGCCATGTTAGTTGCACGGGTTTGCCAATTGTATCCAAAGGCTGCAACGTCTGTGATAGTCAACAAGTTCTTTTTGGTCATCAGTCAATGGCGTTGGCCTCAACCTGTTTTGCTCAAGCCTATCGAGAGCGGCCCTCTGCCAGTTCGTGTATGGAACCCAAAGGTACGCTTTTTTGGATACTTCCGCATCCCCTTGTCAAAAGAGAAAAAATGAGCATTGCAGCTGATCTATGTTATTTCAGATTTATAAAGGCGATTCATTCCACCTGATGCCCGTCATTACTCCTGCATATCCCTCCATGTGTGCCACATTTAATATTAGCCGCTCTTCTATGGCAATTATTAATCGAGAACTTCGAAGAGGCTTAGAGATTTCGGAGAGCATTATGGTCGGCAAGCGACCTTGGAGCGACCTTTTCGTGAAACACACTTTCTTTACTTCAGATTACAAGTATTATATTTCCGTCATATCTGCCAGCAAATCTAAGGAAGCACATAACGTTTGGTCAGGATACGTTGAGTCCAAAGTACGCATGTTAGTACAGAAATTGGAACAACATCCTTCCATCGCCTTGGCCCATGCTTTCAACAAGGGATACGAGCGTCGACATCAATGTAAGGACGACTCTGAAATAGCACAGGTACAGGACGGCAGTCTCGATTTTTTGATCAAGGGTGATGAAGATTGCCAAGCTACAGCAAAACTCGAATCCGAAGAGCCAAGACATGATGCAACTGAAAATGGCGACACAGAATCTAAACGACCAACGAAGGTCTTTACCACAACCCATTACATTGGATTAGAACTAGACGAAGGTGAGTTTCATCTCTTTAACCCCCAACCCCCGGGCCCCAGGCTGGAATACAAGGTGACACCCTTAATTCCAATTTTGTTTTCCTCATGCTACTGGATTTCCGGTCAAGACTAGCTGTACAATATCTAATGGAATGGCAGCCGCCAAGTCTCTTGATCTCTCCTACCAAGTTGACGAGTTTAAAGTCCTGTGTACGCAATGGCAGAAGTATCAAGAAGAATTGAAACCACTTGTTTCTATTGGCGTACAACACGTCCGAAAGTAAGCTTTTGGACCTCACTTTGAGATATCGGCGACTATGCTAAGCTATCAATTAAGTTTTAATCTTCCTAGCGATGTATTCGATATTGGAGAAAAGAAACCGCAGAAGAAGGGCGCCAAGGGAGCATCGAAGAAGCGTGGCCCCTCAGAGGTAACCACTGTCGCGATAGTTGCAAAGACCGTAGCCCTGGGCTAACTTGCGCTTAGGACAACCCACCTCCAGCAAAACGACAGCAGGCCTCTATTGCAGCTGCAGGCTGAGTGCCATATCAAATTTCACAGTACTCCGTTTACGAACTCATTCAAAGAAGTTGGCAACGGATAACAATCGAGCCGGCCCGCCAACCAACATGAACCTTGAAAAGGGTTTGATGGCAATACTTGGTCCCGGCTGGATCCCCCACTTTGATTTTATCTGCTGACGTACGTAAATTATCAAAGCTTGCAGGCTTTGTTTCTAGGCGTCGACTCCTCAGGTTCCTCAGGTAGCTGGTAGATACTGCATCCCGCCTTCAATTTAGCTTCCGCTGTACGACAACGAGCAGCACACACAAGAACGAAAGGGTCAGCAGCACAAAACACATTGCCAAGTCACGGTGAGCACTTCGGTGTCGACCAAATTAATGAAAAAAAAAAATTCTCGGGGTAATATTGGCCCAATTTGATTGGTGGCATAATATTTCGCGCCAAACTTCGCAGGGTGTGGACCAGCTAGATCCAAAGCGATAGATATGCCAGAGCTCTCGAGGATAGAGCTGTATTTAGAGCCAGCCCTTGATTCTGTGGCCGCACTAAACGATAAAAAAACATTTAGTGTTTAATCCGGTTTCCTCTCCACTGCAAGCCGTCTTGGCTTATTATCGTGAAGTCACAACTCGTCATCGTCCTCATCACTGCCACTTGACCAGTCATCTTGGTAGGCATCGGCGATTTCAGCAAGGCTATTACCAAGTGCCTCACGCTCGTCTAATCGGATCAGTCGAGTTCCCTGAGACCTCAGGTCTTTCATTCGAGCCGAAATTGACGTAGTCGTCTTGAGAACAGTGTGAACGGGGATACTCTGCCTGTTGATTACATCTCTGTATATATGTGGGTAACTGTCTAGCAAAGGAAATTGTAACTTCGTGAAGTAGCTATAGTGCTGGGTAAGCCTTCACCCAACAACCACTATTCATTCAATGGGGATGCGGTGTTTCATACTTTCTTGTCAAACAATTGCCAAGGATTTGACGTCGTCTCGTGTCCGCCGTCTCCTCTGGCTCCGCTTGCTCTGTGTTTGGCCCACGATGGCAAATGATTTGTCCAAAGATGTGTTCGGGTCGATTCTTCACTTTGCTGCTATCCTGTCCAATTTGGAAAAAGCTCAAGTTGTCTCCTGTATCCATACCGTCTCTGGTGTCTGTCGGGATGAACATTCCTGCGCTGGCAATAGTCCGGTTGCCGCTTGTGTTGAGACTCTCGGCACAGTCAGCCAGGGAGGCGCCATTGCACCCCTTCAAGCGGGACGGAAGCAAGGCACTCTCGGAAACGGTGGCAAGCAGTGACGAAACATGCCACGGAGAATTGCAATCCAACTCTATGTGTGGCCGTAGTTGGCTTTCGGGCAGGGCCAGAGGCACAACCGTTGAAGCTTGTGTATACGCCTGTTGGAGGCTTTGGGCCGTGTTTGATAGGCGTAACTGACGCTTCTCTCTAGAGATGTCCGCCAAGGGGCTTTGAATTCCCCAGACCCAGATACAAGATTTGGGGTACTCATCCCGCAGTGCCTCTAGATATGATGATGCAAATCCCCCCCATGCATCGTCTATGGTAGTGAAGACTTGCATACCTTGCATTAGGTCGCATTCCTCAACAAATGGCCGCCAGTCTCTATCGAGGATATCTTGTTCTTTGTCCAGTGACGTGAATAATTCTGTCCCCATGTCGAATCTTTCGAACGGACGTATTGCAGAATCTAGCTCGAAGTCATAGAGCTGCACGAGCGACTTTGGGTGAAAGTACGATTTGGAGAAGTCTGACCAGTACCTTACAGTTGACGTCGTAAGTGGAGGGTGTTTCGTTCCAGAATCCAGACTTTCTTGATATGCACTCGGCGTGACCAGCTTTTGCTGGTGTACAGTCGACGGACCCGTCCTAGAAGATGGAATACACCGTACGAGTAAGCAGGTGCACAAGAGTTTGTCCTCCTGGGAGGGCATGAGCCGTCTGGTAGCCCCGTCGTGTTGTCTTTCCCATTCTTACCATAGTGAATCAGCAGCCACGGTCGTGTCTGATGCTGCGTCGTACAACGGGTTAATTTTCCTCAGGGATCCAAAACCACCTTTCAGGTCGTATAGTACAGTTCGCGGAAGGAAGGTTTCGGTGCCATCAGCGCCTAAGCCAGCCCTCCAGTGAACGTTGTGGTCCACCAATGACTCTTCCTGTCCGGCATATGTGAAATATGACTCTTGTGCGTTCCAGAAGTGGGTGGCTGTATAGTTAGCGAGATTGCCCAACTGTAGAGTGATGATCTCACGCATTACGCCAAATGTAAGTTCGGATGAATGCTGGGTTCTAAGGCAGGTATTAGCTAGCAGACGAAGACGCACGCGGATGAAACAGCTGCGTTACTCAAGCAAGTTTGCCCAAAGGAATGTTCAATCCCTACAGGGTAGTACATTGTACAACCAACTAACTAGACGATGCCCCACCGCCACGGTGTCTGGAAGTTCTGGAATTTTTAGCGTACACAAGCAAGTTGCAGGGTAGCCTGCGAGCCCGGTTACCTAATACTCGTCATTGGCAGCGCCAAGTCTGTGGCATGTCGTCATAAACAGGGTCGAGAGTTCAATTTGCATGAACCTAGCATGCATGCCGACTTACACGCGGATCATGAACAGAAATCAAGGCCAGCGCAAGGAATCTTGACCACAGAACCTCAAAACCAACAGACAAACGCTACTACTGTCTAGCCTATTTACCATGCCCGAGCAGGCTTCACAACAAGCTTCCCAACCAGCTGCGACCAGGTCAGGGTTCTGGGCAGAAATAGAGTCTATGAAGTCGCCAGAATCCAAGGACGTCGCGCCAGAACCAAAGGTTGGGGAGAACGCACCGACTGCGCCTGAACTCGTTTTACCAGATGGGCGAAAGACATTAATACTTTTCCTGCGTCACTGTGGCTGTCCCTGTGAGTTTTCCACCCAAACTGCCAAAGTCATATTGTGGCTGCCAGACTGCGTCTCCGCCCACGCAATTGTAACGTTCTGTATTCTTCCGGGAATCAACCACTCACCGGGAAGTAAGCGGCGGAAAATGGACTATTCTTTTTGCAAGTCGAGTATGTGAGACGGACAGCTGACGATAGGCCTAAAGTTGCAGAGAAAACTTTCAAAACATTGACAGCAGTGTCGGAAATGCAAAGGGATGTCCACTGCATTGCGGTGTCCCATTCCTCACCTGAAGCAACCGAGCGTTGGATACCCCAAGTTGGAGGTGCTTGGCATACTGACGTAATTATCGACGAAGGTCGAGATCTCTATGCAAAATGGGGGCTGGGACTATCCAACACTTGGCACGCATTCAACCCCATGGCTTTGTACTCTGTCTATCGCCTAGGTGCCGATGAAGGCATCTGGAACCGTCCCACCGAGAGTGGAAGTCGATGGCAAAAGAGCGGAGCGTTTGCAGTAGATGAAGCCGGAATGGTGCGCTGGCGGCACATCTCCAAGACTGCCGACGACCTGCCTGATTTTGACGCGGCTCTCGAAGCGCTCGGTATCGTCTCGGATGACCAAGGCAAAAATTAATCAATAGCGCCACAGCCTCTGTCGCGCCCTCTCATAGTCTAATTGATACTGGAGGTGTTGAAATCATGAAATTGGATATATATTTGCCAGCTAGTATTATCTTACACATTACAATATGTTGTGTTAACAAATCATCGCATTGTGGGGTATTATGAGTACTATCATACATTGGTAGCGTGGAGTTCATAAACACTTGTACGGTCCTTGCTAGAATGGCTGCGTTGAGGGGCCCCTTAATGGCTGCGCTATTGATAGAACGCCAGCTGGCCAACGGCCGATGTTTCAGGCCAAGCACAGGCAGGGGGGAAATTTGATATCCCATTGATGCATAAGTTCCGGCCGAATGACCCAAGCTGCAACACAGCCAAGAATTCCGAAGCTGCTAATCAATTCCAATGTCAACTTGCCACCAGTTTGTAGTTGACTCACTAGCTCTAACAGGCCGAGAGGATCTTGATGGGTCGTAGTCACTGAAGGAGCCACGGTCCGTGAAGGCTTGGAAGATGATCGACTACGTCTCGTCACAGCCAGCTGTTTTCGGGTTAGAGACATGCTTTGCGTAATCTGTTGCCGTAACCTCTCTGCGACCAAACTCTGTCGTAGCCCCTCAGCCCAGCTTGCCACTTCGATTCGGCCCCGGTCTCGTTGATTGAGGGTTTGGTTTGTAAATTGGACTTGGGGAAGGCCAAAAGAAGGGGACAACTTCGTACATGTGAGCGCGGATGGCAGTAAGCTGCCTCGATGTCTTTGTTGCCGCATCCACTTGATGGCCTTGCAGGCTGCAGAATGGCGAAGCCAAGTGCTCCCTTCCACAGATAACAAGTTCTTGACCAGGTCACCAAGGTCAGTTGCAACCAAAGGTGGAAGATAGTCCGAACTCATGAGAATACTGGCGTCGATGATTTCAGCGTCTGCTTGAGTCGCACTAGAGATTGCATAAATATGAGGGTGATCCTGAGCTCCTCCCGGGGCAGTGAAGAAGAAACAATCCAGACCTGCGGAATCGATGCCACGCAAAGTGCGGTTCTTTGCTGAAAGACGCTCTTCGAGAGAGAGTTCATCCGCACGCGCTAGCAGTGGAATAACATTTGTTGCATTTTGTAAATCTCTCATACATCGTATGTCGTCGCTGGTGGGACCTGTCATGGCTTTTAGCTTAACAGCGATTACTCGACGAGTAAAAGAAGGAACATACCCGAATGTGGGAGTAGATAGAGAACCACATCAACATTCGACTCTGCCCCTCCACTTAATAGGGCGCGGAGATCTGGGTCGTTTATAGACTTGTGGGCCAACTCAGCCAGCCGAGACTCGACGTAATCGACGGCAGGCGATGATCCCTGAATGTAAATTAGACGGTGCTTCGTTAGTGAAGAAAGTTGCAATCTGTACCTGAACATCATCTCCGTAAACTGGGCAGTCCACAAAACATATATTTCTATCCAAAACTTGGTCTGAAGTTGACGACCGCCTTCGCCTGGAGAGGTCATGATCTAAATCTGTTCTCCACCAGGGCTTTGGGCGGGTGCTCGCATATACATCAGTGGCCATGTTATTCGAAGTTGCAACGACCGTATCCATGTGAACGATGTGTGCCGACGATTGGGCTATAGCGAGGATGAGAGATGTCTTTCCGATGCCTACATTGAGCGTTAGCTTGGCGTCGCAACCTTTGCTGCGCAAGATGGAAACCTACCGCGACGTCCCGTCACAAGGACCTTCAGTTTCCCCAGCGATTTCCCGATTTCCGAGAAGGGGCGACGTTGAGGAACAGTCAAGCTAGGCATCACAAGCTGGGGTGTGAGGCCCCTCGGCAAAATTGGTGAAGTACCCACGACTGGTGAGTGACTTGGGGGAAGTTCAGAGAGACTGGCGGACAGACTGTGACCATCTTCCGACATGGCGACGCTTGATAGATTTCCAGGTGACGAGGGAATGCTGTTTGCCGAGCCCGGGCCATGGCTACTGGCGAATACCGACGTCGGAGGCAATGACCTGCCTTGCCCAGCATTTGACGATGCCGCAGATGATGGAACTGGGGCGGGCTGAGGCAACAACCAGGGACAGTCGGACTCGTACATATTGTGGTTGGTGGTTGGTTTCTGTGTGTATGTATATTGATGGACGGTAGGAATGACTTCAGCCCGGCCCTGGGTAGAATCGTTATCCATTAAACTGGATTCTGTGGTAATGAAGCAATCCATTGAGGCTACTGGTGTTGGTTGCGAGAGTGTGTCGCAGTTGTCATGGTTCTGATCTCGACTCGACGAGTTGGTGATCGTGGATGGCAGAGGCCTCATGTTTTCAACCTAGATGGTGATGCACCTTATAGGTCCAGCCCTTAATAGTCAAGCAATGCCAACGGTGCTGCCAAGGCGCTCGATTCGAGGGACGGCGAAACTTTCGAAAAAGATCTCGAGGTTCAATGTTGGGTCAGCCGCAACTTTCAGAGGGCGCGTTGACCCAAGACCTGACGTATTTTATCCGTTACCAGTGGACCATACTCGAGAGAAAGCGAGTTCAACCCATGAGTCCACCTCTAGAGCGGTAGTTGACGGTATCAGCAACGGACCACATTGCGTGAACGAGCTGCCGCATCTGCGCGGTCGACTGATGGCCAGGAACCCCACTCTGAGGGGTCCGTTCTTCAGTTGGAGCATGTCACTGGTCTTTGCGACGCAAATACTATACTCCGTGCCAGTACGGAGTACATATCGGCTTTGCGGGGCGCTACCCCTCTCTTTCTGTAATTGCCCTCGCTATCCCTGCAGTGCTAGTAGTACCCAACATTGAGTCAAGGTCCTCCCTTGACGGTAAAGAACTACGCCGACAACGAGTTACCACGACTGGCCTTGCATTTCTTCCTTGATATCACAACAAGACTGGGATTCTCTTCTCATCGACGCTAAAACTCTTACATCATGGATGGTAAAAGACATCCCAGCTCATTCCAGCAGTTGGAGAAGCTGGGCGAAGGCACCTATGCAACTGTTTGTATACCCACCAATCTGCGGCCTCGCACTTCGCGCGCACATGTATCAGCTAGCGGATGAATCAACTGACTGAAGCCATGGCATCTAGGTATTCAAAGGTAGGAATCGGCAGACCGGAGAACTCGTCGCTCTCAAGGAAATACATCTTGACTCCGAGGAGGGAACCCCGTCGACTGCAATTCGAGAGATCTCTCTCATGAAGGAGCTCAAACATGACAACATTGTCGCCTTACACGACGTCATCCACACAGAGAACAAGCTCATGCTCGTCTTCGAATATATGGACGGTGATCTCAAACGATACATGGACATGCATGGCGAGCGAGGGGCTCTGAAGCCCGCCACTATCAAGAGCTTTATGTATCAGCTCCTAAAGGGCATCGACTTTTGCCACCAGAACCGAGTCCTGCACCGCGACCTAAAACCTCAAAACCTTCTCATAAACAGCAAAGGCTTATTAAAACTCGGAGATTTTGGTCTGGCACGAGCATTTGGCATCCCCGTCAATACTTTTTCTAACGAAGTCGTCACCCTGTGGTATCGCGCTCCCGACGTCTTGCTTGGCAGCAGGACGTATAACACCAGCATCGACATATGGTCCGCAGGGTGCATCATGGCTGAGATGTATACTGGCCGCCCCCTCTTCCCAGGCACTACCAACGAGGACCAGATTGTCAGGATATTTCGCATTATGGGCACGCCCACCGAGCGCACTTGGCCCGGCATCGCACAATTCCCAGACTATAAGCCCACCTTCCAAATGTATGCCACTCAGGACCTCCGCAACATCCTTCAAGCCATCGACCCTGTGGGGATCGATCTGTTGCAGCGAATGTTGCAACTGCGTCCTGAATTGCGAATTAGTGCCCACGACGCTCTTCAACACCCTTGGTTCAATGATTTGGTCATGCATCAGCAACAGCAACAGCAACACCAGCAGCAGCAGGCACTGCACGCCCAGGCAAGGGCCTACCAACAAGGTGTACCAGCGCAGAATTACGATACTTACTAGAATGCAGCAACTTGGTCCCTACAAGCTCGGACCACATCTTGACTCCTGGGCAGGTTTGTCGCCAAAGTCCTTTGTGCGGTGCATTAGACACCCTTAGGGGTGCAGGGCTTCTCCTTTCGTTGGAAACAGGATCGATCCTTGGAGAATTCGAGATTTTCTTTGTCTCGGCAACCTGATGATTGTTAATAACGGAGACGACGGTGTTTTGGGGTCGTTGAATTTTCCCTTTTGTGTCACACTAGATTTGGGAGATGGCATGCTCTTTGTACTTTTTTGGCATTTGACATTTCTTTGTCTTTCTTTCTGGGTCACAGCGAGTATTCTGTTAGAACGAGTTTTGCATCATTGAGTCACGTCATAGTCACGAGGGATTAGTAGATAAACTAGAACCTAATAAGCCTGTGATACCACTGAGATCAGGTTGCGTTGCAATTATTCTAAAAGTATCCTCGGAGGACGGATAATACAGCATGCTAATCGTACATTTCCAGCGCATCAATCTTTGCTCAACACTCTTCTAGACAGGTCAAATCTAGAGGATGCTTGTTAGACTCTATTTACAAGGCTGCCATCGACTGGACTTTTGAACTTTCGTTTGTTCGGTTCCTTGGACCAAGTGCTAGCTAAAGCGGCTGTTTCATCTTGCTCAGGCGGCAAGCCTATGCTTTCTCGCAGTTTCGCAACTTCGTCTCGCACCGACTTTGCGACCTGGATTCTCAACTGAACAGCCTCATGGCCGTGGGTGAGAATCTCTGGATCACCCTTCTGCACGAGCTGTTTCCATTTCTCTCGCTCGCGTCCAAAGACAGTGTCAACATTGGCTGGTTTCCCGATGACAACACGTATCTTGTTGCCAATGCGAGGCAGGAACCTTGGAAACCCCCGGTCTTCTGGCATAATATCTTGTGTGCCATGAATGAACATTGGGATAAACTCTGGAGCCGGGTCACTTTCGAGTATGAGCCGCGATATGCCCCATTTGAAATAGCGTAAAGTGCTCTCATGACTCTGGTGGCAACAGGCTTCTGGGAATACGTGAACCCACGAATTACGATTTGCAGAATATGCCGCCGGCGAAGGAAAAGAGTCCTTCCCGTCCGTCGAGAAGGATAGGTCCTTGAAGGAGCTTGATTGGCCGGGGCCTGATAGGAGGCCAATTGCCTGGGTCATGGTAGGTTGGAACAAGCCACCGAGTGGTGAGTGCCAGAGTCGACGGGTAGGTAGAACTTGACCAAGGCTGAAAAAGGTTGAGGAGAGCCTGACAGAAATCGTCGGCGTCAACAAGAGGTCCAATTTCACAAACAAAGCTGGCATGTAGAATACAACACCAACGTCCACTAAGAGTTAGAACGCGCCGGGAGCGACTGACTTGTTTTTGAAGCAGATGTCATGCGCACCCAGCCCCCAACGTAGATTTTCGGGGTTGACAGTATAACGGAAAGGCAAGATCCCCCATATTAGAGGGTCATCGAGACTGCATTCCCTCTTGCGTTAGCGGATAAAAGATGCATAGGATCGATCAGGCAGTATATGAATAGAGAGGTTGTATGCTATGAGAAAACAATGCAATGACGACACTCAAGCAGACTCGAGTGCTTTTAACTTACACAGCCACATGATTGCATACTGTCAAGAGACCTCGCTCCCGACCTTGAGTCCGTCGACGGTCGAGGGTTTCAAGCAAATGGCCCAGCCCGATTACCTCGACATTGTTGAGTCCGTATAAGAAGCCTCGAGATACAACACCCACAGTGCCCATTATAGCGATCGAACCAAGGCGCCATGGCAGGCTGTTGCGCGTGGCCGGGGCCGGGCTAGACATGATATAATTCGGTTTTGCTTCGACGAGGTTGGTGAAAATGGGCTTAAAAAACAGTCATTTGTCGGCTCACGCGTTGCCTCGCGGGCTACTGCTCATGGAGGATCGGAGCTGTTACGAAAATATCTCCCTTTATCGTGATTTCGGCCCTCTACACCGAGAAAAAAAAAGGAAAGAAAAACCAGGTACTCCGTACCTAAGTACCTAGAGGTGTCTACTAGGCACTTAGGTAGTTGGGAGGGTTCAACTTCTTCAAACGGGCACAATTGGCCGCGACGATGAAATTTCAACGTTGGCTCAAGAACATATGGAGAGACGAGCGACTTGGATCAATTGATGCCTGGCTGACCGGGTCCCGCATCCCTGGGTAAGTACCTAAGGTAAGTTACCTCTGTACATACTTGGGCACGTCTACCGGAGCTTCAGAGGCTCAAGTGCTGCAGGGATCAATTGATGCGCCTAGGCGCGCCCGCCACCAGCCATGGTGGACCAGTGGAACAAGTCAATCTACTTGCAGATATCCAGACCTGTGCACCGTAGTTCCTGACTGCTGCTTTGCAATATTCAGAAAACTTCAAACCAGTCGATTCTTCGGCAAATCCAGTGCATTCGCCAGCCAAAGAGTCGGTAGCTTTCGAGATTTGCCCGTTCATAAGCCACTACTAGTTACCTAGAACTCAGCCTGTTCACATTATTGTTGCTACTGGTAGCCTGCTTAACCATCTGTCGCAGTGAGTTGGTGCACCAAAGGTCCTGGTGCTTTGCTCTCCTAGGAAGCATCCTTCACGCTTCCCAACATGTCACACAGTAAGGCGACCTGGATATGAGATTCCATACACGTTGCATTCTATGGCACACAATCTGATGAAAGCTGATTGCTCCAGGTAAACGAAACACCTCTCGTGCCGTCTTTACCTCGCACGAGCGAGCTCTCGCCAAGGCCAATTGGTCCTCCAGTTCCGCTCGCCTGAATCGCGATTCGTTTCTCCCCTTCGGATCTTGCGGCCTTTGCTTAGAGGTTGCTCGTGACCCAGTTGCCTGCCGACTAGGCGACATTTTTTGCCGCGAGTGCGCCTTGGCCAATCTATTGGCACAGAAGAAGGAGCTTAAGAGGGCAGAGAAAGCCCGTCGTGAGGCCCAGCATGAGGCGCTTCGTGCGAAGGCCGCCGACGATGATGAGGATCAAAAAAGGGCCGTCCTTAATTTTGAGCTGACCCAGGCGGGACTGACTGGCTCGAACAAGGGGGGCATTCATTCGAACCAAGACAACTCGTGGGATCAAGAAGCACAATCCGCCCGTGCCGGTGCTAAACGCAAGTTCACCCTGGATGAAGATGAGTTGATTCGCATAGCCAAAGAAGACAAAGCAAAAGCAAGGAAAGATATTGAGGATGAACGGGTAATTGTTTATTCCCATATTAAAAAGAACCTATATATGCTATACCCCCCCTTCTATGTGGACAATCGCTAACTTTGTTTTCTCTTTTCTTCTTCTTTATACGCAGGCCGCCAAACCATCACTTCCTTCATTCTGGACGCCATCTCTTACGCCAGACGTCCAAGATAGTAAGCTCCCCGCTAAAAATAAGGCAACCAAGACCACACCAACATGTCCTGCATCGACGGAAGACAATCCACACGCCATCTCAATGCAAAAGCTAGTCACTATCCAGTTTCAAGAAGGCAGAGATCAGTCTACAAAGGGCGGTCAATGGACATGCCCCTCATGTCTCAAAACGCTATCCAACTCCTCAAGTCCAGTCATGGCTCAGCAATGTGGCCATGTTTTGTGCCTAAGCTGCGTCAAGAAGTTTCTAATACCCGCAAGCAAGGAAGTTTCCGCACAAGAAGTACCGCTCATGTGCTATGTATGTGAGACCCCTATAGCCGGCAAGTCTGCAAAGCATGACCCATCAACTAGCAAACTGCCAGTTGGCCTGGTCTTGCTGAAGTCGGAGGGCACAGGGTTTTCCGCTCGAGGCTCCAACACCGTGGAGCGATCTGGCGTGGCATTTCAATGTTGATTCTCAAGAAGCAGCAATACGGATTGTACTCCGGCCAAGGGGTTTTCGCTACAAGATGCGTTTGGGCGTTGCTGGCATATATCAGAAACCACGCTGGACTCCTCATTTTCATTGCAGCCGTTTGCGCAGCTGCGGGTGTGAAAGAATCCACAACCGGATGACAAGGCGATGAATGAGTCCCTTTGTCACCATTGTCAAGCCGTGGCTTAGGAAGCCTTTGAACAATTCTCCCCGGAGTCCGTCATAGAGTGCACGCAGACCCTCCTTGGTGATAATTCGGAGTATGACACCAAATACTGTTTTATCGAGCGCGCCGCGGATTCGAGAGATCAGGGGTTTTGTGTTTTGAGCCAGCGACTTTGTCTCTAGCCCCTTTTCGCAGTTCGTTGAGTCTTCAGAACCCAAGTCAATCGGCATCTGCAGTCGAGTTCGTCCCGTTTGAAATGGATAGGTTACAATGGTAGCAGTTGATTTGCTGAATGCCGCCAGAAGAAAGGCAATCCACGCAACCGGCACATCTTCCTCCTCCAAGGCAGGAATAATACGCTTCGCAAGCCGGCGATTGATGAAGAATGTAATGCTGGGGTTCATGGTGAGGATCAGAGTGGCGGAATAACCAGACCACAAGCCGGAGATACCACTCTCCTTCTTGATGTCAGCCAGTGCCTGGCTCAATGACTCTGTATCTGGTTGCATCTGCATCCGGGTGACTACGTTTGAGATGGGAGTCGTAATTGCTCTGGAGCACGCGCCGGCGAGCGCTCCCATGGCGAGCTCTTGTATTACACGTGGATGGCGAATCTGTTGGCGTAAATAGGTATAGAAGCCAAAGAAGAGAAAGCTGTCCACCAAGGATTTACCAATATCGAGCCCCAACCCGTTGTAGAGGGCTGCGATGCCACCTTCATGTGAGGCAATGACCTTTAGGCCGTCAATTACTCCGTCATAGTGGTCTGAGCTCTTCATCTGGCGTTGCGCTTTTAATCGCGTTGTGACGAGGTCAAGAGGGAAAATGGCAGCGGTCGAGACCCCAGTGCCTATTGAGCCAGATATAGCATGGCCCAGGGCGTCGAGTGCCGCGTTAGAAGGCATGTTCTGGCTCAGACAGGCCGGCGGATGGAAATGGTCAAGTAGGCGGCTGTTTGCAAGCTGCAGCTTGTAAGTGCAAATCAATGCGTTGGCTGTGTCGGGTGCACCCAAAGTCGAAAGTGACGCAAAGATTATGTTGTAAACAAAAAAATCTTGAACGGGGTCCTGTTGACTTTGGAATAGTATGAGAGCCGAGGTTGAAAGCATTTCCTGTCAAATGATGTCTTGTGCAGAGGAAGCTCAGCCGACGGTTTATCTGGACAATTGACGTCATATACTTGGGTACGTACTTCTGGGCGGTGCTTGACCAAAATGATCAACGGCAACTCCATCAGTTTCCCACGCACGATGGCCTCGGCTAAACACATTATAATGGACGACGCATACAGGCTACATAGTAGTTGCCTATGATCTGAATATGAATGTTACCACATACGACGTCTCAACAATGTTGCGTGCTTAGCCACGTAATGTAATTCAAGTTTCTGGTGCAATGCCTGCATGATGTCATGCGTTATCACTACAAAGCCACCGCCAAAGAGCCCGCAAGCCAAAAAATAGCCCCTGTATGCTGATATCCGTTTGTATTCTGTCGCTGTCCATACCATTGTCTGGGAAACAAGCCAAACGTCCAATTCCCAGTCGTGAAATCATTATGCTTCCGTGTCAAAACGCCATCCCCGTTGGTATCTAAAACAAAAGTAAAACTGAAAGAAGTGGCGCCACTCCAAACTTGCCCATTGAAAAGAGTAACACAGAAAAAGAAATAAAATCCTTCCAAATCCGCACTTCCGCTTCCAAAACTTATGCGAAAGTAAGTTCATCCGCATGTCTAAATATAAAAAAGCGTCGTCCTAACCAACGTAGTCAAGCCAGGTCCAAAGATAAGAGTACAAGGCTAGCTCAAGATTCTCCAGGACGAAGAACACGCCCGACGTATTTCAACCGCGGCTTGTTACTGATGGCCGTCTCTGTGACACGGTTGCGGCACCAAAATTCGATGATCTGGCAGAAGCAGGAAAGCCCAAGGCACCAATGTCTGGCTCGCCTGGTGCATCTTCCCCTTCAACAAGTCCGGGGTGTCCTTCCGGGAGTTTTTGAGCGCCGTATCCTACCACATGAAAAATGTTGGTACGACCTCCATTCGTTGCTAGTTGTAGTTGTTCATGAAGTCTAGAGAGCTGATATTGTCGTTTGATTGGAGTGAAAACAGGTTGTGGAATAAGCGGTTGGGGATGCCAGTGGGACAAGGCGCTCATTACGGCTCCGGTTTCCTCGTCAGAGTCAACAGGACCGTTGTTCGCGTCATCCTCGTCCTCAACGGGGGCGTTCGCATCAAGAGCAGCCTCTGCAAGGGAGGAGAAAAATGTGATTAGTAGTCAACATTATAAATGAAGGAGCGCGAATGCGCCGGGTCTCTAGAGGGGTTAGGAAGCTCACTTTGTTGTTTTGCTTGATTTTTCTTCTGGTATGCTGCCAAAAGCATATCGTACGGAAGAGAACGGCCTGCAACAGCACGTTTTGCCCCCATAGAGTGGCTCTTGCATGTAAGCGATCGAGCGCATGGTTGCCCGTTGGGCAGTATGACACCACACTGCCTTTCAACATCAACCGGTCCTGATATTCCTCGTTAGCCAACCAGATTATACTCATCGCCCATGGCAAAGATTGATACTTTCGTACCTTTAGGCTTTGGAACCTTGGCTTTAGGCTCGTCCTTCTTCTTTTTCGCCTTCGGTCCTTTATCTGGCTCGCCGTCGGCTTTCCTTTTTTTGCTGCCCTTCTTGTCATCCTCGGGCTTCTTGCCTGCTTTCTTACCCGCCACATTTCCTTTTTTATCGTCGTCGTCACTATCATCTTCTCCATTTTCTTCATCAGCCTTTCTAGCTTCTTCCTCCCTGGCTGCCTCCTTAGCCCTCTCTCGCGCTTCTCGCGCTTCCTTCTTCCTCTGCGCCTTCTCCTTTTTCAGCTTCAGGCATTGCGCAATATGGGCCTTGGCTGCAGTCTTTAAAATACTTTTCTTGCAGTGCTTGCATTGCTGGAGATCTGGGCTATCCTCCAGAGGCCGTCCTGTCGCAAAGGTCTCTCGAGCGGTGTCGTCTAGTTGGTTCACGACTGGGCCAGGAGAAGCCACCGAGGTCGAGGGGGAGCTCACAGCTTTCTTTTTCTCATCTAATAGTGTCACATGAGAGGCGGCTCAATGTTACCGTAGGTGTGCGGTTAACGTACCTTCGACAACACTACCATCCCTCCAGTTTCCTGGCTTGTTGTGCTTCGGGGGCGGCTTCTTCAGCTTTATGGTGCCTGATTTGCTTTCCTTCTTCAAAACGACTTTGTTGATCGGGTCATCACCTAAGCATTATAGTTAGCGGCTATTTGGATGATCTGGAACAAGAGCCTGGCTTGCCTTTGCGAGGTTCGGCGTCGGGCGCCATGTCGGTTTGCCCTTCTCGTAACCAAGCAGCTGCTTAACACTGCTGGTATGTCGGTGACTTCACCCAAGGAATTTGCGACTATGTCATCCACGGCGCAACGCCTTACGAATGATACAAAGAAATATAATAGTCATGGAATACACGACGCACGACGTAGCAATCGGGCAGCGCATGGACATCTAGTACTGGTCCAACCCAACATGTCGCGCGACGCACGAGACTCGCTGTTCGGAAGAGGGAAATCAATAGTCCGAAACACGATGCTGACCCCGGATTCAATGACCCACCCTCCGTCGACCCGTTCACACCGTGCGCTGAAGCATCCAAATAATACCGGGATCCATAACATTACACTTTACATTTAATACATGGGTTCTTGCAACCTACGTCTCGCCCCTCACGTGAAGCAATTTTGTATAAAATTTTCAATAATTAAGTATTCAAGAAACGCCATACACCAAGTTATGCCCTTGGATGGCTTTCTCTCGTTTCACATCATTTCATTTCATTTCCTTGTACATCTTTCCGTTCTTATCTGATATGCAATTTGGTGGCATGAGAAGCTTTGTTAGAAGGACAGCTATGCAAGAACAAGAACCACATTCAAGCCAAGACCTGCATCTAAGTGTCTGGGCTCATTCCACTCCACAGCCTGTATATGCGGTTACGAATTGCCATGTGTCCCAACGTCCGCTGTTCATGGCGAAAATCAATGTCAGCTCACGTAAATAGAAGACAGTGTAAGTCATTGCACACTGCTAGGCCAACGCCATGAAAGGTATTTGCAGCACTTACAGGGTGAAACGTTTTGCCATAATATGTAGGCACATACCACATAGAGTTTTGGGCAATGATTTCTCCTTGGCTAGTTCGAAGGGAAGGATCTTCTTTCGCAGCTTTGGCCATCAAGCATAAGGCCAACTCACCCCAATCGCCTGATTTCTCAGCAGGATCCAAACACGTATCTGGATTTATCAGTGGTGAGCTCCGGGGAAGTAGTTCGCTATGGTCGGACCCTGTCAGCTGACTTTGGAAGCCATGGTGGTTGTCTTTGCCTCCGACAAGGAAAAACCATGTTTCGTTTCTGGAATAATCTGGTTCAGTAGCGTTGCGTTCGCAGAAACGATGGCCTTCGAAAGCATCGTCGTAGTCCACAAACATGACCCTGGGTTCTATAAAGTCGGCGTTTATAGCAGAAATTGAGCGTCTAATCTTGTCGTTTACTGAAAGGACCATCTTGTTCATCCTGCGGCGAAGTTTGCGTTTCAATTTGGGCCCGCGCCACCACACTCCAAAGGACCGTTCGTCGCAGTCCTCGGTATCCTCGTTGAAGAAGCGAGCGTACCCTGAGACCGTAATGGTAAACCAGGGCCTCTTCTCCCACTGTACACGGTCGAGGATTTCCATAATGGCCAAACGAAGGTCATGTTCAAACTCGGGACCGTTAAGGGCTTCTTCAGAATTGCGTAAGGCATCTTCGCAGGTTCCTGAGTAAAAGCTATAAAAGCGAAAGATGCAGCTATTCATGATGTTGAAGAAGCCAAGATCATTACCACCAATGGACAGAAGCGCAAAGTCTGCATCTGTCGTAGCATTTAGGCCATCGATCTGGCTATGGTCGGACCCCGCGAGCATGTCACCAATTGTAGAGCCCGTACAGGAAAGAAACTGCATCTCCGTTGCATTGTCATGATGGCCACGAGCGCGGTTGAGATCTCTATGGACTAGAACCGGATAAGCATGCAGACCTTGACGGCAGTTGTTTTCTGTTCCGTTGAGCCCGGTGCCTATACCCGCTGAGTAGGAGTCGCCAAGGGCAATAAAGCCAGAGGCAGGCTGGAACGGGCGATGCGGAAAGTTGATGTCGTGTTCTTCCACAGAGACCACTGGGCAAAATCAAAGGTCAGTTGAGTGTAAGGACATTTGGTTTGTTTATGGCTGTAAAAGAAGATGGGCACGCACACGCAGGAGGGTTCAGGATATGTTGCCGCGGTCGTTGACCATGACTAACTGCAGTCCATGTTCGCTCTCCCGAGGGTTCAACATGGAGAGGCGGTAGGGGGCTTTGGCGGGCTGCGAGACAGAGGTTGAGGACAGGTAAAACGAGGCCCAAGAATCGCATACTCTTTAGTCGGGGGATGCTCGGAAGGCTTTCGAGTTTACATGTGATGACGACTGCGCGGTTACTTGGAGGACGATTCGACAACCACAGAAATGCAGAAACCAACGTGTGCATGCCCACGTAGTGTGAGCTGCGAGCAAGCGTTCACTCTGCGCTTCGATTCATGGTCGCAAGGCTGAGTGAGATGGCCGCGTGTACGCCGTACGGACTACGGACCTCGGGTTGACAGAGTCCGACTCGAGGTCTGGATATCGGGGTGGACGATGGCGGACGTCCATGTCCACGTCCCTAAGCCCGAGGGTCAGGATGTGCACCAGTGATTTGCAGACTTGAGGCCACGAGCAGGCAGCTAGTTGAACTGCACGCATCAGTTGGCGGTTCAAATGTTGGGGCAGACCGCGTGGCAGCAGGGATAGACCAGCCAGTGGGGGGTGGATCAGTTGACTTGGAGCCAGTTGATTGACTGGCCAGTCGTTGCCCCCAACATTTGAACCCCAATTCCTTCTTGAGGACCTATGGGATGATGCGTCCAGACTGCGGATCCGAGTTACCTCCTACTTGATTATCTGATTATGAGCGCCTTCTGAAAAGCGGCCAGACTATGATGCATGTCGGGCGATTGAATCTGGGGATGACCGCCGTCGAGAGTGGCAAAATACGGACCTCGTATAGGGCGACATATGTAACACTATTTGGCGAGACCTACGTTTCGAGCCCGAGCACAGAGTCAACGGCTAACGCTATTTACGTTTTCCCAATGACCGTTATACTCGGCAAGAATAGTGTTCGCCTGTTCAACAGAGATGATAGAACTAGAAGCAACCCGCTGGGATTGGTCGCAAGATTGGCCCGTGCCCTAGGGTGGCAGACTCTACTTTGACCTTGATAGAATAACACTCTAGTAGATTACTCTTGGCCTAACATTATGACTGGAGCAAGCCTATGTTGGCACCGTCACTCTTGCCAGGGATGGTCGTCCTCCTTATGACAGACCCTCGGAGCCAACTAGATATAGCCGAATTCTAGTTCATGGACCAGGTATACATAGCCGGCTACTCTGAGGCTTGGAATGTCGCTTCACTCAACACTATGGCTCACCCTGACCTGCTACGTTAATTTCCCTGTAGACACCATTTGGTTATACTATGTTCCTCTTCGTCGGGGCGAGCTACTTAGGCACATTAGGTTACAGCGCAACCTACCTTCTTTGCCCTGACCTGGAAGTAGACGGGGCTCAACGTCATTCTCTGTTTCGAATACCACGTGGTTCAGGAAGATCTTCCTTGGGAGCTGAAAGTCGCCTGCAGCCTGGCAGTCGTCTCCGTCGCTGCCTTCCTCCTTTGATGTTCAATGTTCTTGTCGCTCAGGTGGAACCAATTTGATGGCACTAAACCCTGCTGGTACCTCCTCCGTCACATGGGCCCCAGGCGCCACACGCATCCAACGATGCGATTGCTGGCAAGACGTCATACGTCATCCATGCAAGCAAGGCCTAGTGCTTTTATTATCCGACGTCAACACACCATCCCGCACCGATCGACAACATCGTCATAACATGGCTCCATCGAATCGCCTTGTGGCTGACGCCCGAGACCAACGGGACTTTGGAATGACATAAACTTGTTCAGAATCGGGCACACGGACGCGGCCACCTCTCGGCCTTGTCGGCTCTCTTCCAAAAGCATGCCGCTCCCGGCTGGCTACGACTACTAATCAGAACAAAACCAAAGGGGAGCTCTGAAATCCTGCTTGCTGCGCAAGGTTTCCACCAAAGTGGCCCTCAGACTGGCGGCTGCTGTCTGAAGCAAAGGGAAAGAGGCAAGGATGGCCACTAAATTGGACCAATTATTGCTCACCCTGATACACCATACGCCATATCGCATCTCCCTTTCGTACTGCTACGACGTCAGAGAAAACCCTGCTGCTGGTTCTAGTTATGATTTGTAGCACATTGTTTGTGTAACAAAGTGTAAATCCCCAAATTGTCATAAATAGCCCGCTAATGAAGGCTATCCTTGATCAAACGCCCTCCAGCAACAATAACCCCTTCGATTTGTCAACGCTCCAGACTTACCTACATGCCTCTTTGACGTGTCAAGTACGTGTCTTACTTTGAACCTTTACCTCTTACAGCCGAAGCAAATTCTCCCACACACTCTCGTGCCAAAAACTTGCATCGCAGAGTGTTCGCAAATCCCGAAGCCGCCATGGAAACCATCAGCCACATGGCACAAACCGCAGCGAAAGCTGTATGGGGAGATGGCACAGAGCATGACGAGCCTGCTTCCGGCGTTCAAGGAGACGTATCAAAGGGCGAGCCATACGACGGTGGCAATATTGGTAAGTGACCCACGACCAACGTAAAAAAGGTTGTAATAGCGAAGAAAGGCAGACTAAGTTGATGTGATTGCAGACCCCAGAGACCAGGAGAGGAGAGACTCAAAGTTTGCCACAGAAGAAGACGAGTCCTTGAAAGAGACGCAAGACAGTAAGAAACAAACAGAAGCCCTCAGTTCGAAATCAAAGTCTACAGAGAGCACCACCCGCGAGCCCGACGACGATCCAGTCCAAAAGGGCGACGAGAAAGGCATACAGGCAGATGACGGCCCCAGGCCCCTCGCGGCCATTGCCAAAGAGAACGGCGGTGACGCTGGCAACACTCAAGCCGGATCCGAATCTACATCCGCAAAAAGCGACGCCGCCACCGCCGGCCACGCGGAGGACAAGAGCTCTGAAAGCAAAGGAACGGGCGAACAATACGTCAAGACCACAGGCCTCGCTGCAGACGGCGGAAACTTTGACGCGACAAATCCCGGCGCAGGGAGAGAGGCTGATCGTAAGTCTTGCCCAGTTCACCCACATACACAGCCATTCCCAGTTTCCAGTCGAGTCATGCAGATTGAAGCCCCTATGAAATTGAAAATTCACAACTTCCAATCCGCCAAGCTCAACCCATTTCGCGCTGACACAATATTGTTCCCGGCTCAGGTCTCATGGAGGAGAAGCGAGTCGACCGCCAAGGTGGTATGGACTATCCCAAGCCTGGCTCGTCTTCATCTGGAAGCGGCGGCAAGGATGGAAAGCCAACCCTTAAAGAAAAGATCAAGGACAAGCTGCACATCCACAAGTCTTGATAGGAGCCATGTTGCAGAAAGTTTACTTTAGCAAGGTGGGAGAGGCTGTGTGATACAATCAGGAACATGTGTTTATCTGGGTTATTGCTACTTCTTGGGATCGGCTGGCTGGTCATTAAAAGAGGAATTCTTTCATCCCCTTGCCCCTTTATTAGCTTACCAAACAAACTTTCAAGTATCATGCGCTTCTAGATCCATACCTCATACCATGCAGTGATTCAATGTCACGGTAGCCACGAAAACAATGATATTGTATGACTAAGTTTACAAATGCCCCATGTACATTGTTTTAGTATGCCATATTATCGCCACAGTCATCGCTCGTATCTAAATACATCAGGACACATCGGCCGCAATCATTGCCAGCAATACTCAAGTCGACCGGACAAGAATCGAAATACAAGCTAGCTTGGTCTCACCAAGGAGTTCAACCCCCCCTCCCCAAAAAAAAGTCCTCATGTCTCCAAATATGCAGAACTCCAGCCTGCACACAAGCATCATCTCAGAACATAGCGGCGGAACGTTGACCGTGGCGCTGCATCAATAGAAAACAGCATTCCGATCTGATTAGCCCATTCACCAGTGAATTCGGGGCATCAGAACAAAGTCAACAGGGACATTGTCGGTCCTAAAAAGTACTGCCCCAATCCATCTCGATATAGATTTAGCCACTGATAGGCTAAGAATTTAGGCGCTGGCCGTGCCCCTTGGGAAAGCTGACCAAGTAAAGTAGTTGGAGTTCTTGCAGCTATGCCAGGATGATCACGCGTCCCAGCCATCCACACCACATTGCAAATCCACAAGACGAGGGAAGCAGAGTCAACTGGAGCTGAAGACCAAGTGTAGACGCGGGGCCTTGACTGTCCCTATCGAGACACGATTCGGCTGCTAGTACATCTTCAATTGATCGGGCCATCTGCCCAAATTTCTGCTAGAACTCCCCTGCGCCGTTTGATCGGTATCTCTGCGAAGTGTTTCGTGTGCGTGGTGATAACACTCTTGTGTTATAGATGAGGTGTGCATTAAATTCTTTTCATTCAACTTGGTTGAGTAGACTAGTTGAATGGTTCGGTTCGTTGACTAGGTTCATTATTTCATGTCCTTGTAACTTAAAGAAACCCAGATTCAGCTAAGACCCTGTAGTAGTAAAAATATAATAGTCAGTCACATGTTCAATTTTCTTTTTTTTTTCCAAAAAAAAAAACGTTCTTTTAGAAAGGGAACAGTCATGGCGAGAACTTGCCAGGCATTAACGGGTAGGCGAGACTGATGATGACATTTTCTCAAAAGCCGCGCCAGAAAGTATCTCCATGCCAGATACCATGGCGGCTACGCCCGCTGTGCGACGTACGTACCTCACAATCTTTTCGTCTTCTCGCTCTCTTGGTTCCACATGCAAACTCTTGTCGTACATTTCATGTACGTCGCCGGCAGCTTGCATGTTACTTAATATATAATCTTGCAGTTCGGGGACAGGCTGCAAAGAGTATCCCACGTTTTGGTATTGTTGGATGTCCCGGATTACTTCTGCAGTCTTTGCGCGTTTTGCAAAATTGATCAAGTTCGTCTTCTTAATGATGGAGGGAATGCCATCCTCAATAAAAGTGAGATCGGTTAAATAGACGCCTAATCAATGCATTAGTGAGAACTCAAAAGCAGGTCTGGTTTCTATACATACCAAAAAAAGGGATACATGGCGGATTAGCTGCATGAAGAGCCTCGCGATACTCGCCAAAATTCTTGGTGCTAGCCATTACGCGGCGCATAGTTTCCAGGACTCCTTGTGTTTTCTGGGGCACTTGGTCCCAAGTCCGCTTTAGTCGAGCAATCGGCGCTGTTCCAAGGGCTGAGATGATGGAAGTCAGG